ACAACAAGTTATCTCTGCAGATCATAACCAATTTGAGTGCTACTATTCCACAGCTTCAAGTTCTGCAGTTGAGGTCATGCAACTTAACTGAGTTTCCAGAATTTTTAAAATATCAATCCGAATTGCGAGAGTTACAACTTAGCGACAACAACATTCGAGGGCGAATACCAAAATGGGTGTGGAATGCAACTAGAGAAACTTTGGAGACTTTCGACCTCTCTTCCAACTTCTTAACTGGATTTGACCAAAATCCAATCAATCTTCCATGGCAGAATCTATATGATTTAGATCTCCGGACCAATATGTTACAAGGATCACTGCCAATTCCACCACAATCAATCAGAAACTATATGATCGGCAGCAATTATTACAGTGGAGAAATTTCACCCTCATTCTGCAACTTGAATCATTTGCACATTCTTGATTTGTCCAACAACAGCCTGAGTGGCATGCTTCCACAATGTTTGGGGAACTCCAGTGCTCTTGGGATATTGAAGCTGACGAAGAATTCTTTTCGTGGCGGTATTCCTCAAATGTGTCCAGATGACAATAGTTTGAAAATGGTTGATTTAAGTTACAATCAGTTACAGGGGAAGATACCAAGATCAATGGCCAATTGCACTCACTTAGAGTTTCTTAATCTTGGAAACAATCAGATAAGCGACATCTTCCCATCTTGGTTAGGAGCACTTCCAGCATTAAGGGCTCTCATTTTGAGGTCCAATCGATTTCATGGCATGATTGGGAAGTCTGCAACTAACCAAGACTTCCCAAAGTTGTGCATCATTGATTTATCTGACAATGGTTTTTCAGGTGTGTTGCCCTCTAACTACTTAGAGAACTGGAATTCCATGAAATTTGTTGACGAGAACCAGCGACCTTATTTTGAAGTCCTTTCGATGTCAGATAAATATGGCTATATTTATGAATACTCAATCACGACTTTCGCAAAAGGTGTTGAGTTGAAATTTAAACAGACCCCTTATCTTCTTAGATTTATAGATTTCTCAAGTAACAGATTTGAAGGAGAGATTCCAGCAGGTGTCATTGGGAATCTAAGAGGCCTTCTTTTCCTTAACCTT